GGGGGGGGGGGGGGGGGGGGGAGAACGCTCTGGGTGTGTCCCTCTCTGACATTAAGGCGCTACTTCCGGCGTGGGTGTTATTGACCCCTTTTGTTCTTGATTTGCAGCAACCGCGTGGATCACCCTCGTCAACCATAATAAGGCTGCTGTGTGGTGACTTATGACATGCTTTCCGTGTTGTGTCTTGTCCTGTACGACAGCATCTCTCCCGACAGAAAACATCAGCGAATGCATCGGAATGTGTGCGGGCTAGGTAAACACCGAAGAGGGATATGGCAGCTGTTCTCAAAAAACACCTGCTGTGTACACCGGTACGTACGGAATTGCTCAGTGACGCGGGTGGAGAGCGGGAGGCCGGGGAGGGGGGGGGGGGGGTCCCAGAACCATGTGTTTNGGGGGGGGGGGGGGGGGGGGGGGGGGGGGGGGGGGGGGGGGGGGGGGGGGGGGGGGGGGGGGGGGGGGTGTCCCAGAACCATGTGTTTACTTCGGTCAACGTCGTGCAACTTTGCGTCCTCCGAGGCCCTATGCCCCAAAACCCTCAACGACTAAAAGCGCTTCGTGACCACGTGACCGCATATGAAGGTGAGTGCAGTAGGTAATTAGAACTTCGTTACTACGGCAAGACCAACATAAAAAAAAAAAAGTGTCTACTCGGTGGAGCAGTTTTACCGCCGACAAAATACGAAAAGATGGACATCACATGACGGGCACAAACCCGCGTACCCGACAATTTAGACAGACGTTATCGTAGTGCTTATTCAGATCTATTCTGGACGATAGTCCAGGGAGCGCACCTTGGCGTAGCGGGCGACCTCCGCTTCCCCGAGCCCCTTCCACATCTCGCTCAGAATCTTCTGCATCGGGCCTACGGCCAGACCCGGGTGTTCCTTGCGTACCTTTTTTATTTGTCGGGGAAGGGAGGAGGGGATTTCCCAAGGACGATAGAAAGGGACAAGTCACGAGGCGAAAAAAACGCACCCGTGTTAGCATTGCATCAAGACGAATAATACAAAGAGTCTTCGTCTACATTTATACGGGCGAGGACGACGACGAAAGACAGACTCGTACTGTAAAAAAGCCAAGGCAGTGGAGGCGTAGCCTAGGGGGTTGTGCTTACTTGAAAGTGCGGACCAACGTTGTACAGACAGCTAAGGGGGTAGAGACACTGTATAAACGCCAGAGCCAGAGCCAGAGCCAGAGCCACTACTCACCCCTTCCCGGTTGTCTGCGAGGAAGAGCATCCACGCGGACCGCGCCCTGGCTATCTTGCTCTCGTCGGGCTTTTCTCCGCTTGGCGGCGATGCAGCGCCCCCCGCCTCCCCCGCTTCCTCTTCCTCTTCCTCTTCCTCTTCCTCTTCCTCCTCCTCTTCCTCTTCTTCTTCCTCTTCTTCTTCAAGGTCTTGACCATCCTCCCCTTGCTCAGCTTCGGCGCCCTCCGCCTGCTCGGCGTCTGTCGTTCGACCGGCGGTGGCATCGACGGCCATGCCGTCGGCGTCGTCACCGCCTCCTTGTCCTTGGGCGTCGGCGGCGGCGGCGGCGGCGGCGGCACTGCTGTCTTCCGGCAAGGGGGTCCGTGAAATAACAGCGTCAGCATCCACGCTTGCCGTGTCGGCATGATCTTTCTCCTTCTCCTGCGTTACTTTTGGGGCAGCTCCTGCTGGGCGCGCGCGCACACGCCCGGGCGGTAACATGGGGGGAGGGTAACCACGGAGCTGAGTAGGACAAAGACGTACTGCTGTGAGTTGTACGAGGGCGGTGGTGCAATGTAGTAGCGGAACGTTCACCCTGGCACGCAATAGTGGTGAACTTCGGTGGTCGATAATCGGGAATTCTCCAAGTCAGGCAGCAAGGTACAGCAGTGCAGGGACCGGAGGGAAGGGCGCGTGTGCCAGTCGATCTGGCAGACACGATGTCAGTATGTATTCAAGAACAGACACGGGCAGCCGTGAGTGTTCGGCACCTTCCCGTCGTGTTCGTCAATGATTCTTTGGGCGCTATGTGTATGCTGCTGTTGCTTCTCTCTCTGCGTGTGGTGTCCATGAGTCAAGTCTGGGCAGCATGATGCGGAGGACGCTCTCGCGCTCTATCTCTCTCGTGGATGCACAGGAAACCATTATTCGGCACATGTATCCACAGAGAGGCTGCCTGTATATCAATTTCGTTTCTAAATTGTCAAGACCGTCATTTCGTCGTGCGCCAATCGACTAGAGCAAACCTTAATCCCACGAGTCTCTAACCTAACCACCACTACTGCCGCATGCCCACTGCAGGCACACCAATCACCAAGCACTGCGGGGTGTTGCTTCCACGTATCGCTTGGGCTGTTCAAAATTCAAACATAATTTCGCCGCTGCACTCGCACTCAAGGTGATTTCAACATTTCAAGAGTACCTCCTGCTGCGCATCCCATGCCCTTTCTTTCATCATGCCCGCTACCACCTGCTACCCGGAAGTCTTCTTGATTGCTCATGCCAGTCATCACCAAGACCCACCGTCTTTATTTGGCGCCGCTGCTGTTGTTGTTGGAGGTGCTGTGGGTGTTGTTGTATCGTCGATCGATTTTCGCCTTCGCTTTGGACATGGCTTGTCCTCCGGTTTGTCATCCTTCTTGACGTTCGCGTTGCTGTTGCTGGAGGAAGAGGGGATTAACGGAGGCCCGACCATACTTGTGCTTACGTAGGGGCTGAGGAAGGCAAAGGCGCGTGAGATCAACGCGCCCGCAGTGACTTGTGTACCGCGCTGCTTGTGTGTCCTACTGCTGTTGTGTTGTGACTCCATTTTTCAAAAATATAAGGGGGGGTATGCTGAAATATATGATTCCGCGTTGCCCCCGTTGCTATTCTGTCGAGGCACCTACTTCACTTGCAGCACCCGGGACAGCTGCCATGGTTCGCCACAAGAGCAGCAGCAGCAAACACAAGCACAAGAAGAAGCACAGGCACAGGAGCTCCAGTCCAATCGGCAGGTGTGGCCATCTCAAAAAAACATGTTGAATCCCATATAACTGCTGCGGTACAGGTCCCCTTTTTCAGGCATCGCAGCATCATGGGCGCCGCGTTGCTTGAGAATATCGGGCGAAGCCACAGCAAGAGACACCGGCAGCCTGCTGTCGGGATACAGCTGCAGCGTTTTGGGGAGGTTTGGGTTCATAAATTGCAGAAGGGCGTAGTCCGACCCATGGGCAGCACTGCAAGAACAGACATGGCGGTTGCTACCACGGTGCTGCTGTTGTTGCGCCGTGTCCGAGTGTCCGCTCAGACAGATGAAGCCAGCGCTATCTCATGCTGGGGATCCGGACTACACCCTTGTGCGGATGCCTAAACCCTCGGATCCGCGTGCTATGCATACGTCTTACTCGACACCCACACCCTCTCTCTTACCTGCTACATGTCCCCTGCCTACTCTGTTATGTTGTCGTCCCGATGACGACAGCGACGGTGGGTCTTCGGAATCCGACAGCAGCGACGCCGGTTCCGCCGCAGGCAACGGCACAGGACGCAAGACTGAGGGCGAGCTCAAGACTGAAAACAGGTATGCATGTAAGCGAGAGCAGACTCATACGTGGAAGAAGACGCAGCCCGTCTGGCTGCTTAGGCGAGGGGCTCTCTGTCGTCAACGTTGTCTGTCTGTAAATTACGGCTCCAGCTGTGCCCCGCACGCGGGCATCGTCCCAGTCGTTGAAACGAGGCCCGCAAAGGCTTCCTTTGGCGCGCTCAAGTCTATGTGTGGCAGTACACGTACACGAGAGCCAGTTCCCACACCGACCGCAAGCACATGTATTCCCCCCACGCTGCCGGCTTCCATGCGTTCACTAGAGCCACCCCCTCCCGCAAGCACATGGTGCATACATACCCCGCACGCCGATTTCCCGTTTCCGTCACCCCCTTCCCACCAGGAATGCAATCCTGCAGCGGTCCCGCATGTGGCAGACGGTGGGGTCAGATGACGACGACGAGGAGGAGGAAAAGAAAGTAGCACCCGTGAAAGACAGGGATGTGTCTTCCCCTGAGAAGCGTTCCCGCCACCATCACCACCGCCACCATCACAAGCACCATGACAAGCACCATGACAGCAGTGATAGCCACGATCATGACAAGCACCGACGTGCCAGTGGTGGTGGCAGCAGGAAGGACCACGACCGTCGCCATCACAGTATCAGCAGCAGCAGCAGGGCTGCTGCTGCTGAAGGAGGGCGTGGTCGCAAGCGCAGCAGGGATCACGACGATAAGGGTTCCCGCGGCAGAGACGGCGGCAGCGGCAGCGGCAGCAGCAGCAACAGCAACAGCAGCAGCAGCAGCAGCAGCGACAGCAGCAGCGACGACGACAGCAGCAGCAGCAGCAGCAGCGGTAGCAGCAGCATCAGCAGCAGCGAGGACAGCGAGGAGTGTGAGCGCAGCCGGTCCAGGAGCAAGGTGTGGTGCAGAGTCGACGCCTAGGTGTCCCATCGGTGTCCCATCGGTGGGAGACGAAAACGTCGGTTGTTTTGCCTCTTTCCTGTGTGTATAGAGAGGTGTGGTATCCTTGGTTTTGATAGTGTAGGCGGTTCAAATAAAGCCCCCGCGGCAGGTGTAGTGTATCGCCGCTGTGCCCCTGTTTGACTCTTCGGCCGACCGCCATCGCTGATGCTTGTACGTTCTCCGTAGGCGCACTGACAAACGAAAGCGTAGGCGGGTTCTGCTGGCCATGAATCTCCTGCTGTGCCATCAATCGGGTACCAGCACGGCTTTTCCGCTTTTGTAGGCGCTTTCTCTTCAGCACAACCTATTATCCCGCTTCAATTTTTTTCCCGGCACGTCCTAATTTATCCCTTTGAACCTGGTCGCCCCTGCCGCGACGTGCACGTTCTTCAGACTCATCGCAGCAGCAGCGGTGGCGGTCGCGAAAAAAAGAGCCACCGAAGCAGCAGCAGCAGCACCAAGAAAAAGAAGAAACGTCACAGCAGCGTGGACGGCAGCAGCACTGCGACCAAGGAGGACGGCAGCCGCGATCGCAAGCGCCACAAGAAGGTACCCCCCCCCCCCCC